TGGAGGGGTGTCCCAATACTTTTGGCAATATAGTGTATGTAGAGTGTAACATGAAACATGTTTGCATTCCCTAACCCCCTGCCCTCAACTTACTTGAAACTGCAGAGATCTTCTCCATGCAGTGTCTTGTTTTTTTGTTTGTTTGTTACTTACAAGAGCCATGCAGGCAGAGGAGGACACAAGTGCAGCATCATCACCACACTTGTGGTACTTTGTGTAATCCTCCACAGGGGTAAACAATACTAGAACCTGTGCATCATATCCACAATGAAGTGATTGCAGATTAAATGCTCTGCAGGCTTCAGTACAAAATTGTAATAAATACACATTTTATTTTATAATTTGGGTGCATTAATTACATTTTTGCAAAAGGTGGACTTTATTAAGATATAGAATGGTTTGATCCTGAATCACTCTCTCTTTCTTACTAATGTCATCTGGTAAATGGTTTGCTTAAAAATCCATACCAAGTCTTTTTTTATGGCTTTCCTTATATTTTTCTCTACATTTACATGTAGACCAGGTTGTTCTGCAAACATTACATATACAGGAACTGGGACAAACTATAAGGGCTCTTTTACCGATGTGGCAAGGACTGCCACTCCTCTGAAAAGTGATCCATGCTCAGAACATTTTTTAGAGCTATTTCACAGGTAGTGATATGTTGTTTCTTCACCACCCATTTTAACCCCCTAAATGCCGCTCTACCCGCCACAACCAAATGCATAGCATGTGGTTATGGGGCGGTTGCAGTGCAGCCCTATTCATTTGAATGGGTCATGCTCCGTGGGCTGTACTACCTGCCGAACATGGCGGAGGTTTAATTCTTGCCACAGCCACGAAGCAAAGCATTGCGGCCGCAGCATACAGTATGTACACCCCCAGCTACTGTCTTTTCAACTTAAAGGGGATCAGTTGGGGGGTTTGCGTAAAAAAACAGCTCAACTGCTTGTTTTTATTGCCCATCAACTGCAAGTGTAAACAAGTCCCAGCACTGTTGAGGGAGCTTTAACAGTTCCAGCAACTATTAGACTAGATCCATCTTAGCCCATGCAGTAAAACACAGCATTTTACAATGCAGGCTAGCTTAGGGCTAATTGCTTACTTGTTTTTTTTTTCCTTGTTTTTCTTAACGTGATTCTAAAGGCTTATTAAAAAAAAAAAAAAAAAAAAATAACAAACATTTCTATACTTACCTGCTGTGTGCAGTGGTTTTGCACAGAGCAGCCTGGATCCTCCTCTTCTTGGGTCCCCCTGCAAGCTTTCCTGGCCCCTCCCTCCTGTCGGGTGCCCCCACAGCAAGCAGCTTGGTATGGGGGCACCCGCTACTTCATGTATCCATTCAGACACGGAGCGGTGGCTCAGCCCAGCCCCCTCTCTCTTCTCATTGGCTCACTAGCTGTGATTGACAGCAGTGGGAGCCAATGGCTTTCGCTTCTGTCTCAACCAATAAAGAGAGGGAGTCCTGGGATAGCCAAGACTCCAGTGTACATCACTGGATCGAGAGGGGGCTTAGGTGAGTATTGGGGGGATGCTGCAGAGAAGGTTTTTATAACTTTTTAAACATTTGTTCATTACAACCATTTTCACTTTATTTGAAGCATCACTTCATTGACTTCATTCCTGTCACTGCACAGCAGCACTGCATCAGTAGTGGCATCCTCATACTTCCTAAACTGACATATTAGAACGTTTGGGCAGGATAATTATGTTAGCCGTTGTCATTATCATGCTAGATTTTCACTTCTGACCGCACTGTCTCTTTAAATGTAAAGAATTTGCCTTTCCGATAATCTCTTAGCACGGCTGGCCTCTCCATGATATAATGGTGGATAATGTCAACGTTCTGGCAAATGTTCAAATTGAAGGAGAGGGTTTTAACACATTATTAAAGACGTGCTAATTTCTGTTCACGGAGAAATGTGTCAGATACTGGGATTCTTCTATAAGATAACAGCATCGGTGTAACAAGTACAGGCAGACAGCATCCTCTGTAAACAGACTTCTATTATACATACAGGAGCCAAGAAAATAACACTCTGCTAATCTCCAGGAATGGATTATTACCTAAAATATGACATCCTCTCACACATAGATTCTACGAGATTGCTCTTAATGTTAAAGTACTCCTCCGAGACCCAACATATTTAAGGTTTCACCTTTCCTAAAACCTGGAAAATGGTTATATTAGATTATCTTTAAATTGTTGAGGACATCAACACTTTCTAAATGGTACATCTGCTTGGAAATGTTCTCACTACAGAGCTGCTTTTCACTGAGCAGATGGCGACTATAAACCTGGCCATATATTGTCGCGCGCCCACTCTAAAGCTCACAATGTAAAGGAATGAGGATAGGACGAGGGAGGAGTTCAGAAACACAGCTCCCATTCCCATCATAACGGCCTCTACTTGATCTATATGAGCTTTTTTTATATCATTTTTTACTCTGATTCACTTATTCCCCATAAGTACAAAGCAGTTTGCCAAAATTGCCTGACTTCTCAGGGCTGTCTTCACTTCTGAAACTGCTAGGGTACGTTTTAGGCTGCATTTACACCTGCATGTTTCCTAAACGTGCAACAAAACACACAAATATGTGCATTTTGCAGCACATTTCAGAAACGCGCTGCAGATGCAGGTTGCACTTGCAGTGCCACTAATTGCTAATGGCACCCCATGCACAGGTAGCAGACGTGTGTTGGGCCGGGTACTTTGTCATGAAATAAAATGTGCTACAACTGTGCCAAAATGCCGACTGACTGACTGCTGACTGACAAAACACCCAAAGCTCCATGATCAGAAAAGGTTCTGGAGTTACTTTGGTCTAAATACAGGTCTACCTTGTAACATGTTCTAAGTGGTGAACTTAACATAACTGCAGCAGGGAAAAGCGATGTTGTCTGTCCTGCTAGATAGGGCTGTGCTACGTGGTAGGGATGTGTAAATTACAGGAGTGGATGAACAGATAACCCAATGCTTTGGCAGGTACAACAGCTCCTTTATAGTTTTAAGTTGTGTATTTAACTGTTTGCCTGGAATTCAGCTTCAATGAAGTGGCAAATACAACTAGGACATTTGGCCTGGACCCAGGAAGAAAGGGAGACCACCTTAGCTGTAAAGCAAGGGTATACATGCACAGACTGAAGCTCCAAATGTAACAGAAAGGGTTATTGGTTTTCCTCTCATGAGTCAATCCACTGCTAAGGGTCCTAACCCATCCCCTCTTCTCCCTTCTCCTCTTTCAAGGCAGTGGTATCAGTATGTTCACAAGCATTCAGGCCAGAGCTGGTTCGGGGATTCAATTTTTTAGCCCAGTGTAGCACTACCCCCACAGGAACCACTGGGCATGATGAGTCCTCTGTTCCTACCTTGACCTTGGCATAGACCTCAGTACCACTAACACTTTGGGTATACATGTCAATAAGTAGAGACTATTAATTTTTTTTTTCAGTCACTACCTTAGGGTCACCCTGAAATGAAACTCCAGACCTTGTGGTAAGATAAAGTTTATTGTTAAATAATGTTCAGGCATGCAGATTATAACATCCAGGATTTCTTTGCAGCATACAAAATAATAACGTGATATTGTGGGGGTGCTATTTTAAATTCAGACCAAACCAGCTTAAACTGTAGCTATCCTCACTAAATGAGCAGCATAGAGCAACAGATTGGTACCAATACAGTTAAGGGCTAAGTTGCCTATGGACACATGAGGTGAGGGAACTAGGTCTAGGCCTTCTTTAAAAAGAGAAATATGAACATACTGTAAATTGTAGAAAGGTATTTGATGTAATCCAAATGTGCTTCAAATCCAAATTGATTAAATGGAAAATCTAGTGCGGTCATGCGCTTACCACAAAGACATACAATCCGAGCGGTGCATGTATATCATCATGGGCTGGACTTCAAGGTCTGGTCAGCAGTATGAGCAGCATCCGGTCACCATAATGGACACTCAGGGATGACGGTACACACACTCGGGGGTCCCCTCAGACTCACCAGCAAGTCCAACGTTGTCCAGGCTTCTAACGATCCTCCACTCCAGAACACCACCTTGCAAAGCTCATAATAAACGAGCTGGGGGGCAAGAAGGTACTAATAGTGATAATAGCATAATGCTGGTTATTAATTTTATACAGTGTATACACACTCACAGTTACTTTATTATGTATATCTTGCTAGTGCCAAGAAAATATCCCCCACACCATTACACCACCACCACCAGCCTGAACCATTGACACAAGGTAGGATGGATCCATGCCTTCATGTTGTTTACACCAAATTTTGCCCCTACCATCTGAATGTCACAGCTGAAATCGAATGCCTATTCTCCTCTGACATCAACAAGGCATTTTTGTTCACACAACTGCAGCTCACTGGATATTTTCTCTTTTTTCAGATCATTCTCTGTAAACCCTAGAGATGGTTGTGCATGAAAATCCAAGTAGAACAGCAGTTTTTTAAATACTCAGACCAGCTCGTCTGGCACCAACAAAAACATACCACATTCAAAGTCACTTACATCCCCTTTCTTCCCCATTCTGATGCTCGGTTTGAACTTCAGCAAGTTGTCTTCACCACGTCTAGTTGCCTAAATGCATTGAGTTGCTGCCATGTGATTGGCTGATTAGCAATTTGTGTTACCAAGCAATTGAACAGGTGTACCTAATAAAGTGGCCGATGAGTGAATGTATGTGTGTGTATGTGTATATAAATATATATATATATATATATATTCTGGCCAGCAGGACTATCAGTGTTCAGTAATGGGAAAATGGAAAGCATCAATAAAGGTGAAGGACAATAAAGTACTCCAGGTGATTGGCACAAAGTGAAATAATGGGTCACCAAAGGGACAATAACCCACTCACCTAGCAGAAGACTTCATTGGACCCTGTGTGGCAACAGTCAGCTAGTCTGGGTTCAGTGCTCCATATCCCCTGGCAGCACAATTGAATAGGCCTTGGGGCAAAACTCGACCACAGCAGACAGCAACATTCTGCCCTAAGCTCACTCCCCTTGGTCTCCAGGAATAACTGGTCCTGATACCAATGCAGCTGTCAGGAATGGACTCAGCACTGGTGGTGGGACTCACCTGCCGTGTGGGCTGCAGTACCAGAGCTGACCAGCAGGCACCACGCTGTCGTGCCAGATGACTCGGTGCCCGCTGACTTGCCCAGTGACTCGGTGCCTGCTGACTTGCCCGGTGACTCGGTGCCCGCTGTCGTGCCAGATGACTCGGTGCCCGCTGTCAAGCTTGGTGACCAGGTGCCCGCGGTTCTGCTAGATGGCTCGGTGCCCACTGTCCTGCCAGATAGCTTGGTGCCCGCTGTCCTGCCAGATGACTCAGTGCCTGCTGTCAAGCTTGGTGACCCGGTGCCCTCTGTCATGCCAGATGACTCGGCGCCCTCTGTCGTGCCAGATGACTCGGTGCCCGATGACTCGGTGCCCGCTGTCGTGCCCGATGACTCGGTGCCCGCTGTCGTGCCAGATGACTCGGTGCCCGCTGTCGGGCTTGGTGACCCGGTGCCCGCTGTCGTGCCAGATGACTCGGTGCCCGCTGCCGTGCCATATGGCTCGGTGCCCGCTGACTTCCCCGGTGACTCGGTGCCCGCTGACTTGTCCGGTGACTCGGTACCCGCTTTCATGCCAGATGACTCGGTGCCCGCTGTCAAGCTTGGTGACCCGGTGCCCGCGGTTCTGCTAAATGACTCAGTGCCCGCTGTCGTGCCAGATGACTCGGTGCCCACTGTCGAGCTTGGTGACCTGGTGCCCGCGGTTCTGCTAGATGGCTCGGTGCCCGCTGACGTGCTCGATGACTCGGTGCCCGCTGACTTGCCCGGTGACTCGGTGCCCGCGGTCGTGCCAGATGACTCAGTGCCCGATGACTCCATGCCCGCTGACTTGCCCGGTGACTCGGTGCCCGCTGTCGTGCCAGATGACTCGGTGCCTGCTGTCGAGCTTGGTGACCCGGTGCCCGCGGTTCTGCTAGATGGCTCGGTGCCCGCTGACGTGCCCGCTGTCGTGCCAGATGACCCGGTGCCCGCAGTTCTGCTAGATGGCTCGTGCCCGTTGACTTGCCCGGTGACTTGGTGCCCGCTGACTTGCCAGATGACTCGGTGCCCGCTGTTGTGCCAGATGACTGGATGCCCGCTGTCGTGCCAGATGATTCGGTGCCTGCTGTCGTGCCTCTGCCCGCTGCCCAGCCTGACGTGCCTCTGCCCGCTGCCCAGCCCGATGTGCCTCTGTCCGCTGTGCAGCCTGATGTGCCAGCCCCTGATGTCCAGCTAAACTGGCCAATAACTGATTCCCAGCCTGCTCCTGGAAATCCTGTGTCCAATGGCCTGCCTGACCATTCCACCTCTCCAGCCCTGACTACGCCTGTGTTCCTGAAGCCTGCTACTTCCCTGTGTCAGTCCACACATTTCTGGTCATACCCGGATCCCTGAAAGCAGCATCAAATTTTCCTGGTATCTTCAGCTCTCCCCTCTCTATGAAAGGACCTCTCCATCCACACACACTGGTGGCTATCTCCCAGCTGCCCCTGACTTCATGTTTGTAGGGATATTTCTTTCCCGGGGTTTTCTATTTATCTGGCTCTTCCTGCCTCCAGGCACACTGGGTCCTCTAGCTTCTTTTATTTGTAATGATATTGACATCTCTCCTGGCCCAAACTACATCTCCAAACATTCAGTGCTCTACCTTTGAATGAATCAGAAGCTCTAGGTCTGAAGAAGCTCCATCTTGTCGTGAGAAAGGGAACTGCATTCTGGCAATGTTAACCATTGCAATGCATTATAAAGCCTCTACGTTTCAGTAACAGTGTTTCTGGTTACAACAGGGTCATATCCAGAAACACTGTGCAATCAGGGACTATCCCCAGAAACCAGGGACACCTGGTCAGATTAGGTTGAATACTTGTGGACAAGGCTGAATTTGCTATCTTAGTAATCATGGGCTACAGTCTAAGGCAGCACTAAGCTTCAAAATGTATAAGCTCACATAGTTGTTTATTTTGTACCCCTCTTCTGGCTATCTCTGTGACAAATCTTAACAAATGAAATATCGAGGAAAGTGTGTTGAAGGGATGTTCAGAGGAGTCAGAAGACTAAAGTTCAAGAGACATGAACCCATCACTCTTCTCTTTTTTGTTGGCTTGTACAGGTACAAAGGAGCTGCAAATCTAAAGCAGATAGCTTGATATCTCTGACAGGCATCATCCCTCTTACCTGACAAGATGTTAAGATGCAATAAATGGTGAAGATGAAATAAAAGATTAAAAATTCTGTTTTCTTCCAGACTGGGCCACATATAAATTAATTATAACATCTTTATTTATTGAATACTAAATAACAGTAAGCAATATGATCAAATCATTTATGTTCAGCACCACGGCACAAGAAATACACATTGTTTTACATTCTTTTTGTGCATTTTTGCATATCAAAAGTGAAACCTGTAAATACAAAAATGTACTGAACCTATTTTTAATTACCCTCCCAAAGGTCAAAGATGAAATAAGATTTGGTGTTCTCTGTGCTCATTTACACTATTGAGTGCTGGATAACACACCAAAAAAGGTTTATGTTGTGTTCTGTTTCAAAAGCAGCTGTATGCATTGACATACATCCATAGATCTTGATCTGTCTTGACAGTATGGTCACCTCCTGATTCAGCACAATCCACAGACAGCTTAACTCTCCAAGCAGATGCAGAAATTGATTCCAACACGATTTTTCTTCTCAGAGTACAGTATATATTAGTCTTTCTCAGCCTTTTCAACACAGAGGAACCCTTGAAATAATGTTTTGTTCCTTAGGTAACCCCAGCTAAAAATGACTATATTTACAACTCTTGATACATTTGTGTGATGGTTATAGATAGATAGATAGATAGATAGATAGATAGATAGATAGATAGATAGATATCATAGATTAATGGTGTCAGTGGGAACTTATCTGAGAAGCTCAAATTGCTCATTGCTCAAGGAACCCCTAGCAACCTCTAGAGGAACCCTAGTTGAGAAACCCTGACATAGAGGATGTTTTTCCAGTCTCTTGAAGTGCACAAAGACAAGGGGGCTGATTTACTAAAACAGGAGAGTGCAAAATCTGGTGCAGCTCTGCATGGTAGCCATATAGCTCTTAAATTCAGCTTGTTCAGTTAAGCTTTGGTAATAAAAAAAAAACCTGGAAGCTGATTGGTTTCTATGCAGAGCTGCCACCCGATTTTTCACTCTCCAGTTTTAGTAAATCAATCCCATTGATTTTTCCAGCCTAGTGTCTGCTATGAAAATTTGAGACTAACAGAGGGAACAAGAAGAAAGAATGGAGGGTCTTGCTAAGATTGTACTACCTAGCACTGAAGAAGAGGGGAGAATAGAGAGCATTAACCAAATGAACATAACAAGGTACTGTATCGCTGAACTAACACTAGTTGTCAGCAAAGATCAGAACAGATGGGAAGTGGGACAGAATATGTAGCAATTCTGGCAAGGCACTACAATGCATGTCTGACGGCAAGGTGCTTTTAGGTGCCGATCAGGACTAATGGAAGCACATTGCACCAATGCATGTATTTGGCATTGCCACAGTTTAATGCATTACAATAGTATGCATGGGCTTTCAAACCAAACTTTTAAACTTTTAAGCATTAGTCACTCAGGCCAATCTATTTTTTAAAAAAAACAGGCTAAAGAATAGGACAGATAAGGACAATCCAAAAACTCTACTGCAGTCAAATGTGGCATTGAAGCAGTTAAAGGCATGAGTGCCCCCCCCCCCCCCCCCCCCCCCATTTGGTTCCCTATGCATGTCAAGCAATTGCTTTCTGCTTAATTCAGGGCTGCATTCAGGCTTCTGTATATGATATAACCTAAAAAAGAAGAAAAACCTTTATCTTCTAAACTGTGTACCACAAAAAAAAGGCAGTATTTGGTAAATAGCTATTTGTATTACATTTTATAACATCTTTTTTAATATATATGTATGTTACCAGTCATTTTCAAAAACCTATGGATGTCCATATGCATTAGGACATAGGCCAGGCCTCCAATGAACAAGAAACAACGTAGTTCTAAAATCAGCAAAGAAATCATTTTATTCTTTATCATCTGAATTTCATTCTAATACCGAACCCTCTTTAATAATCACTTAGCACCGTATTTTTACAGATTACAACAAAAATGCTTCGAAGGTTAAATAATCTACAGAGTGAGTACATATTTCAAAACATTTTATGGTTATTTAGGCTTATGGATTGGTGCTTAATATTTGCCTTTTTAAAGGCTGCAGTAATCTGCAGTAGCAGTTTCTATAGTGCATTAGTGCCCCCTGGAGGATAATCACTGTATTTCCAATGACTTCAGTCTACATTACCTAATAGCTTGTAAAATAATGATGAAAATGAAAAATGAAATAATTGCAGTACTATAAGTGCTACACTCATATTCTCCCTAAATATTTAACAGACAAGTAACCCATTATTACTTAAAGGGGAATTATTTTTATTTTCCAAGGGGGTTTTAATCTGGGCTTTAAGGCTGCCATCCTGGATAAGAGAGCAGTTTGGGAAGTCATAATATCTCTGAAAATATAAGCAACATCCAATTTACCTAGTGAGTAACTGCTATGAATAGTCATTCTCTGACTTCAGCACATTCTGGATCGCTAACCTGGGTCAAATGGTGTCAGTGAAGTCAAAGTGATATTATAACCTCTTTTTCTAGTTAAGTTGATGTTCAGATCTTGTCTTCTTCCTCTTGTATTTCTTCAATTATATCCTGAGATTTCAACATGCCTCCCAAATTTTGAGTTTCCCATCCCCTTCATTCACGGAGACAATGGTCATAGATCATACAGTTGTGCTCAAAAGTTTGCTTACCATGGCAGAATTTATGACATTTTGGCATTGATACTTAAAATATGACTGATTATACCAAAAATGTCTTTTATTTAACTGCCTCCCGCCTGCCATATAAAGAAATGATGGGCGTAAGGCAGTTCTCTCGTTCTGGGAGGACATCATATGACGTCCTCCTGATCTAACCACGATTGTGCGGCTCCGGGGGCAAGCAGCGCGGCGCTCGATGGTGCGCTGTGTCCCTCAGACACAGCGGATCACCGATCAACGGAAAGAGCCAAACATGTTGGCTCTGTCATGTGATCAGCTGTGTCCAATCACAGATGATCGCGTGTAAACAGGGAAATGCCGGTTATCTGCATTTTTCTCCTCACGAGCTGTCATGCTGACAGCTCAAGAGGAGAGGAAAGCTGGTAATCGGCAATCCTTGGAGGGGACATGTACACTGGTCATCAGGGCACTGATGATCAGTGTGCCCTGATGATCAGTGTAGCCCCAGCAGTGCCACCTGCCAGTGCCCATCAGTGCCACATTTCAGTGCCTACTAGTGCACATCAATGCCACACATATCAGTGCCCATCTGAGCTGCCTTTCAGTGCCACCTGTCAGTGCCTCTAATCAGTGCCAGTCAGTGCCACCTATCAGTGCTGTCTATCAATGCTGCCTAACAGTGCCAGTCAGTACCGCCTATCAGTGCCATATATGAGTGCTGCCTTTCAGTGCCCATCAGTGATGCCTGTTGATGCCCATCAGTGCCACCTACCAGTGCCTCCTCATCAGTTCCCATCAGTGCAGCCAATCAGTGCCCATCACTGC